ATCAGATGACAAGATAATTTTGCATACGATTTTTGTCAATAAATGTTATGAGAAATAAAATAAAAGCTGTTTTTACCATAAATCCTATGTTGTTTTGAAACTACAATGTGCATATTTCAACTCTTTTTTCAAACAATATAAATTTCTCTCTTTTAAAAAAATATTAATAATTAAAAAAATCTAATCATTTTTAAAACATTTGCTTTACAAGAATTGAAGTAATATGCCACTTAATAACACATACATTCTCTCACAATAAATTTAAACATTTTAAGGTACAAACAAAAAAATAATAGTCCATATTTGAACTTCTTTCTCTAATTTTTGAAGTAAGTTTATGAACTTATCCGTCATATCCAATGGAAATTCTTTCACTAAAAAATGAATTCTATTAGACAAAACAGAAAATTTACAAACTTTTTCAAAAAATTACGGTCAAACTTTCTGTTTACGACCATATACTGGGTTTCAAAATAGTGAACATTTTTTTATGCGTTTTAGAACGTAGTTAATAATATAATATGAGAGAACTTAATATTAACTTCCAAAAGTTCTTTTATTAGACATTGGTTGCGTTCTAAACTTCACCTAAAAAAATTGCTCAAACCATATTTCCACCACTTCTATATATTAATTAGACTGCTGAATTTTTACGTAATGCATTAGAACTTAAAGTGATATGGATCTCTATATCATTTTGAGTTTATTTATACATATATAAATTACATTGATAATAACTAATGAAGTTAAGATTTAATAATGCATAGCATTATTAAAAATCTGAAAATACCATTATTAATTACGAACAATACATAATAACTATCTGGTTACATATATCTATAATAATAATATATCATAATCACAATATCTATAATAATACATAATAAATACCTAGTAAATAAAAGGATAAAAAATAAATATGATAAATATGAAAGACAAATAGTTGCAAATGAAATAAAATATAATGCATTATTTCCCTAATTAAAATAATCATAAATTACATGATACACAGCACACACACACACACACATGTGTACATTCAAAATGTTATGACGCTTATTTCCCACCACTATTCAGAATCAGTAGTCTATGGAATTAGTATATGGAATTTTGTGGTTCAAAGCGTTTTTGAAACTCAGTATGTAGTCGCAGACAAAAAAAAATCGTAATTTTTGGAGTGAGTTTAACTCTTCTGTCTTGTTCAATGGGAGAATTATTTCATTAGAAAACGGTTTTTCCCATTGGACAAGACAAAGAGTTCACAAACTCAATCCAAGAATTACGGGTAACATTTTTGTACGAGACTGTACGTGAATAAAATAATTTAAAGTTGTATTCCAAAAGGTCTTTTCTGAGGAAATTTTTCTTGGTACTCTAAAGTCTATAAATCTATACAAAAAATGCTATTGAATGAAAAAAAGAATGAAATTGTTTTATTCTATTAAACGTCGATATCGTGGGCTATTTGAAACATAAATATTTATCTCGATTATATTTGTAAAACTATATTTTTTCAGGGTGGACATATACAATTATATATTTGATTTTTAGGCTTTCGCGGTGTCCATGAATATTAGATTTGGTTTCCGGGTTTGAGACGCGTGGATTCATCTTTGTTTGATTCCAACGTTTCACGAACATTTCAGTCCGTTTCATCAGGGAGGAACGACCCG